CTCTTTCATGCGAGCTTATGACCCAACACTCTTGTAATCGTCGCATTTTTGCAGATGGCAGCTCTCTCTCTCTTGCTTTCCTGCTAGTCCCTGTTACCTATTTATCAATTTGGGTAGGCCCATGTTTAGCTGCTTCCTTGTTAAGAAAAAAAAGAAGAGATTTTCTGCTGCTACCTAGGACTTTTCATGTCTACTTTGCTTCTATCAGCAAGGATTAAATTGTTCGAGGTTCTTTAGACAACGACAATTTAAATTGAATTTAATTTTTTATAATGCAATTTTATTGGATTTAATAACTTTATTTTTTTAATTATTTGTATTTAATTATATGATAAAAAAATAAATACTCATAAAATTTAATAAAAATCATATATAAAACTATAAAAAGAATCAAAAAATCAAAATTTATTTATATGCCATTTTTATTTTATGTTTATATAAAATAAAAATGACATTAGACAAATTTATATATTTTTATATTGAAATAAATGAAATGAAAAATAAATAAAAATTTATATATTTCTTTGTTAATAAAAAATTAACACATGAGGTGAGATATTTAAAATAACTTATGATAAATATAATATTTCATAAATAAAAATCAGTGCGTTGACAGCACAGACTTTGGAATGGGAGACTGCAAAACAGAGCTAGCTGTAATGAAGATTATGGGGCAAGTTCTTCACATTTTAAGAGCATCATTTAATCTATCTTGAAAAGTCCTAGGTTGTAATGAAGATTATGGGGACGTGTTTCTATACAAATTGACGATCCAGTTCTTTGAACAAATGTAGACAAAGAAAGACGGTGCAAAGATTGAATGGAGTGTCTAATATATGCCATTGGACATGAAAGGAAAGGGAGACTATAAGGAGAAGAGGACCTAGCTTTTCTTAGCTTTGTCCTGTTATTTTTGTTCAACCTACGCAGCGAGTATACATAATGGCTAAATGAGCTAATCTACGACGAATTCCTCGTTAAATTACTCTCTGTAACTGACAGAGGGCTAAAAAATGGCATTTTTCATATGTACAGAAAAAAAAAATCATAGACGACCATGCAACCACTGGTTAGATCGACAATCTATGACGGGCTGGGGAGATGCTCTCACCTTTGGAGATGAACCAACAGCTACCTGTTGGAAGTGACATAGCCAGAAGATTGCTTCACTGCAATTCCATTCCGAGGTTCGGTGTTCAAAGAAAAGAATGATTATCACACTGAAATTCCTGCTGTATTTTCCTTCAGTCTCCTCTCAGCTGCAAGAGCAGCAGCCACAGACGGGGGCAGATATCTTGGCTTTCCATCGCTTTCTGGTACAGTGGACGGCACTGTTGCAAATAGGGACTCAACATCCTTAAGGGTTAACACAGGCTGATCCTGATTCTTCGTGTTCCCACTTATGAATGAACTGGTGCTTCTACTTCTGTTCAGTTTATATATGCTCTCTTCCACGGTGTCTTTAACCTGATAAGATCATAGAAGGAAATTCTAACAGATGCATGTTATGTATCTCAAATGCATGTCTACTATATGCAATGTTCAAAAGAGAAAAGACACAAGTGTATAGCATCCAAAATTAGTTTAACAAAAAAAAAAAAAAAGGAAAGGGAGCATACGATCAATCGATGGACTAATGTCCTCTTTTCCTGCCCAATTCGGTGCACCCGGCTGACTGCTTGAGCCTCAGCTGCTGGATTGAGCAGTGGCTCCACTAGAACAACATGCTGTGCTTCTAAGAGATTAAGTCCATTGGCTCCATGTTGGATTAAGAGCAGCAACACTTGAACAGATTTTGTTTCTTGTTGTTGTCTATGAGTTCTTTTGGGACTGCTATTCTGCGCTCTGAATTCATTGATGGCAACATGTGATTTCCTGCATTTATGAAGTCACAACCAAAAGACTTGATAAAAAATAAGTTGAAGTCTACAAATAACTCGATCAACATTAAAATACCTGAAACGCACTTCTAACTGTATTTTTGGCACTGGGAAACAAATGTTAGAATTATGAGATTATGCCTTGAGTAAGATAGAGGTAAGTGCAGTTATGTTATTTGAATTTTATATTATTGTTTTGATTCTTCAGGATTTGCAGCAGTTTGTTATTTTAAATTCCAATAATATCTCAAGTTTGTTGAGAGTTTCAATCCATTCCAAGTTCTATGTAACCCTATATATTTAGGCATTTGAAATTAATGAAATTTATTGATCTTTCTACTCAACTCTGCCATCTTGAATCTGTTTCTCCTATACTTAAACTTTAGTTTCCAGAACTAAATATTTTTAACAACAAAGAGGTATGCATACATTCAAACTTTTAAACTTCACACAATACCAATTTTTACAGAAAACCAAGTGTTGATCTACTATAATTGAATCTCTCTCTTCCCTCCCCAAAGTTAAATTACAAGATTTCAATATTTGCACAAATTAAGCAAGGCATTTATTTTTCATCCCCAATCTCCTTTTATTTTGGTAGTGATATCTTGTGCACTTTGCTTGTATAAGAATGCTGAAAACAGAAGGAACCACTTTTCTTGGATGATGTGGCTTCTTGATAATTTTGTTTGAGTTACCAAATTAAGAGGAATTTAACAACAATCTTTTGGCAAACCTGAAAAGCAAAATGAAAATTCTCCTGGATGGCATAGCCCTTTCCTTTTGGCCCATCAAGTTCCATGAAGATCAGTTGAACTACAAAAAATAACATAAATAAGATGATCAAGAGATCTATCTACCTTCCTCCTTTCATCTGGATATAGGTGATTTCATTAGCATTGATATCGCTGCAGTGTTTATGCTGTGCATGTGTGTGTGGAGTAGTGGTGGTGGTTGTGGTTGTTGTAGTAGCTAAAACATATTAATTCCCATCATTATCACTAATCCAACTAAAATGCTTTGGTTGTAGTTTTTCCAAAGAAATAGGACTAACTTTGATGCTTTAGGCTTGTAAAAAATTCACAATAATGGTAACCTCTTTTAGAAAGATGAACTTATAGAAAGTCAAAAGAGAGAGAGAATAGCATTAAAGCACCTTAAAGTATCAAAGAAAGCACCAAATAATAGCACATGTCAATTGTTGGTGGGAGAAACCACTTGTGGTGGGTTTGAAACACTTAGAGGGGATAAAACAAATTATTTTATTTAAAGAACAACAAGCTTACAACATAAACAAAAGCTTACAATACACACCCTCTCTTTCTCTCTAGTATTTTTCTCAAATCTCTCCACACTTAATTACATAAGTTTAACTGCCCTATTTATACATGAATTCAAAACAAGAAAATTCAACCTTCAAGTGTGAAGGCGGATGTGGCTGATGGTGTTGTTGTAACCCATTTTTGGGTACCCCATAAAAAAAAAAGAAACTGAACAGTGTAATTTTGACACTATTCCTCTTCCCAAAACTTAAAGCCACCAGCGCTCCTTTGATGATTTTCATGATTCCATTATCTATTCGAATCTTACAGCCAATACTATCAAATTATCCTATGGATAAAAGATTCTTCTTTAAGTCTTTCACATGTCGCACTTCTGAAATAGTATGAATTAAGCCATTATACATCTTCAATTTGATGATGCCAATGCCAACAATCTTTAAAGCATGATTATCACCCATGAATACTTTACCTCTAGAGATGGGTTTATATGTATGGAACCAATCTCGATTAGGAGTCATATGCCATGTTGCTCTTGAATCCATTAGCCAGACCTCAATGAGCTCTTCTCTATATGTAGAGATTGTTGCTGCTTCACTATATAAAACCTCTCTATCTTTGGAGGTGCTTGCAACACATCCTTGAGGTTTTGATGACTCTATAGTATTCTCTATACCCCTTTTAAACCAACAATCCTTTTTGAAGTGATGTTTTTTGCCACAGTTGTAGCATTTCACAGTCTTCTTACTTCTTGTTTTGGACCTCCACTGTCTTTGACTCCCACTAGAGCCACGCTCCGTTGATCTTCCTCTTGACACAAACAATGCCTCTACTTGGTTTGAACTGTTACTATCTCCTTTGTTTTCGCGCCTATTTTCTTCGTTTAAGATAGCGGCTGCAACATCATCGAAGACTAAATAGTCTGAGAGGATATTATTTGTCAAGTTGATAATAAGCTGATCATACGAATCAGGAAGACTTTGAAGTAGAAGCTCTGCACGTTCATTTTTCTCTATTTGTTGACCCAACATAGTGAGTTGTGAAAATAGAGTTCATATTATGTTGATGTGGTTAGTCACCGATATGGTTTTTGCCATTCAAAGGGTATAAAGTCTCCGCTTGAAGAAAATCTCGTTGTGTAAAGACTTGGACTTGTATAACTTTGTTAGAGTCTCTCATATCTCCTAAGTTGTTTTCTTCTTCACCACACTTGATAATACTTCATTGGCTAATGCTAAATGTATGTTAGAAATAGCATTGCCATCCATCTCATTTCATTTTGTATTATCAGCGATCTCCTCGGGCCAATCTCCAATTGCTGTCAAGCAATTGTCTTTCCTTAAAATTGCCTTGATTCTCATTTTCCATAGTGAGAAATTGCTCCCTTTAAACCTCTCAATCTCGTACTTGGCTGCCATTATATTCACCGAGATCTATTCAACTATCACTGTTTCACTGATTTGCAACGTATATATAAATAGTATCGTGTGAATAATACTTCACTAAGGAAGTTCCTAGGAAAGATTGGAGGGGTCACAAACAGTCCCGCTTAAAACCCAATATCCTTAGACAGAACTTCTTGATTGTATTTAAACACCGCACTTCTTTTCTATATACGCCAATAGTAACAATTTAAACAGTATCGTATAGATGTATAGCGCCGTATATATGAATAGTGTCATAGATGTTAATAGTAACCGTATACACTAATAACTTTTGTGTATTAACAACACCAACCAAAAGGCTTTGATACCACTGTTAGGATGCTGATATGCAAACCCGACAAGACAAAAGGCAAGGAATAGGATAAAATGAGAAATGAGACACACAAGAATTTACGTGGTTCACCCAATTTAGGCTACGTTCACAAACAAGTACAGAAGAATTTTACTAAGTAATATGAGAATTACAACCTCTCTCAAGTAATAGGAGAACAACTAAAATCTCTCAATTACTAGGAGAAAACACCTCACTTACTCTCTCAGAAATACCTCACAATTTTGTGGGATTACTCTCTCTTCTCTCTACTCTTCACTTCTCTTCTTTGGTGTGAATAATAAGCTTGGAGGTATTGCCTATTTATAGGAAGAGTGAGGGGACAAAGGCAATAAATTATAGTATAAATTATACCAACAATTCATAGGGGAGGATTGTTGGGTATGCGACCAAAGTCCCACATTGGTTAGAAATGGGGAGGATCAATGGTATATAAGAATGAACAAATATCTTCATTGGTATGTGGCCTTTTGGGTATAACCCAATAGCAAATCCATGAGGGCTTAGGCCCAAAGTGGACAATATCATACCAATATGGAGATAGGTGGTGTCCATAGTCCTTACAAGTGGTATCAGAACCATGCCCTAGAGTTAGCCATGATGGATGAATCCTCGGAATGTAGAATAAAAGGTGGTGGGTCCTAATTAGATCACGATGTTAATCCATGGATCAGCTTTATTGGATAGGTGGTGTGCTCCGAATGCTTCATGGACGTGTCTTGATTCCAACACAGTGAAGAGGAGTTGACCTAGAAAGAGCAAAAACTCTCATGTCAGGTAGTGCTCTCCAGATGCTTCATGGACTTGTCCTGACTCCAACACGATGAAGTAGAGAGAAGTAGAGAATGAAGAATCCTAGTTGGTAGAGAGTGGATGGATAAATAATCGTTTGAGGAGAGGCTCGGTGGTCCTTTGTTCGGAAGAATCCTGGTTGGTAGAGAGTGGATGGATAAATAATCGTTTGAGGAGAGGCTCAGTGGTCCTTTGTTCGAGGGGAGGATTGTTGGGTATGCGACCAAAGTCCCACATTGGTTAGAAATGGGGAGGATCAAGGGTATATAAAAATGGTCAAATATCTTCATTGGTATGAGGCCTTTTGGGTATAGTCCAAGAGCAAATCCATGAGAGTTTAGGCCCAAAGTGGACAATATCATACCAATATGGAGATAGGTGGTGTCCATAGTCCTTACAATATATGTACTCTGGCTTGTCTCTCCCCCCATATGCATTGCTTTCAGTTTCTAAATTGTTATGTTAAAGGTAGGTAGAGTTAAATCTCTTTAAATATGCCACAAGGAAATGAGACGGCAAGTACCTCTTGAATCATGAGGTTAAGCGTGTTGGGGTGATTCACAGTGGAGAACATTTGAGTTTCTACTTAATTATGTTGGGAAAAACTATGAACAACCGGACATCAATTTACCCGGATCAATTCAGCGGACTACAATTCACAATTCACAAGTCCTAATTCTTTCTTTCTTTGTGCAGTAAAACAGAATCAAACAATGATAAAATATAATGCAAATAATCACAAAATCAACACCAAGATTTTAACGTAGAAAACCCGATGCGGGAAAAACCACGGGACGGTAGTCCACCTAAAAACTTCCACTATCAACAAATAATGGGTTCACAATCATTCTTCCTCAGATTCAACTAAGGGATACAACATACATATCATCAAGAATAACTTATTCTCGAATTACAACAAGATTAAAGAAGAATTATTTGAGAAAAACTCACAAAACTGACAGCCCCATTTTCTGTCAAAACAGTCAGCTTCTACACCACCAATCTTCGATCAACCGTCCAAAATAAAGATCAACGTGTCTAGAAGCTGCTGTCAAAATCTCAGCCAGATCTAACAGTAAACAACTTAGAAATCAAAGGAAGAATGTAGGCTGCTCTGCTGCCTCTTCTTTTCTTCTCCTCTCTTGATTTTCTTCTCCTCTTTTTTATTTTTCAATCTACCGCTACAGCACCCGAATCACTTTATTTTAAACATCAAGAGACATCCATCACATGAAAATTAATGTGATGAAAATTAATGTGGTGGTCCCACCATCACATGGTGGGGACCACATACAACAAATTACAGAACCGTACAAATGATAGATTACTTCACATATTGAATTATCTATTTAATTACGTGATGTGTACTCAGACATTCCGGGCTCTAGGAAATTGAATCAACTAAACAATCTTGATAAAAATCAAGTAAAAAGTGTTGAGCATTGCTGCAAGCCATTCCATGGCATGTCACATATCAGCAACTCCCGTATGACATTATCATAAGGATCTTCTGTGAAGTCCCAGTCACAACCATTGACGGTACGTTTGCAAACCATGTAGAGAGATTCTTTTAGACCCTGATTTTTCCTAGAGGTCTTAAGAAATACATTGGAGCTGGAAAAACATTATTAAGAAATACCTAATAATAAAATCATACAAAAACAGCTCTTCGTAGTGGCCTATCAAATCTTCTCTAAAAGAATTGGCATTTCGTGTCTCCTTGAGTTGTTGCCAGTGCTGCGTTATCCAATGGGTTAATATTAATTTTTTAAAAAAATATTAAATATATAGAAAATATTTTAAGTATTTTGAATTTTATATCCATGCTAAATTTAAGTGATTTGGATCTAGTGACAATGCAAGATTAATTTCTTATATTTTATTTTATTCTAAACAGAAACGCTATTTTTTTATTTTTATTAAAAAATTTAAATTATGTTTACAATATTCTAAACATAAATTCTAATTAATTTTTTTATATATTTAAACTACCCTTGAAATATCCTAAATGGAAATCCTAATTAATTTTTATATTTTTTATATAAAAACTATTTTTATTTTTTATATTAATTTTATATTTGATTTGATTTTATATTATTTTATTTATTTTTCTACGTTTATTCAATGTATTTTTTTAAAAAAAATACATTGAATGGTATTATTGAAGCTTCAATCCAGCTCATCATGGTTGAATGGCAGCCTTTATCGATGGTCAATGTCTCCTTGTATTGCGAATGAGGGCAATTATCTACAATATTCCACAATGAAAGTTTCACCAACCAGTAGACTGTTCTTTGGGTTTGAATTTTGTAATGAAATGATGGAAATTCATTTCATTAGAAAATTCAACATCAAGTTGGAAATTCATTGGTTGCTACCTTCTTACAGTTGATTATTTTGCCTACTGATCGAAGCTCTTGTTTCAACATCAAGATTATTTTGCCTACTGATCGAAGCTCTTGTTTTTTTTTTTTAATTGTTTCATTCCGTAGTGTATTGATCAAAATATTACAAATATTCTCAAACCCTTCATGCAAAGAAAAACAAATTCTAACGCATAAAACAGTGCCATCATAATTTGAAAGAAATGAAGTTCATATTACAAATAATTATCGTTCCAATTGATAATCGAATAGAAGTAGTTATACACTATGAGATTAAGAGATCTCCCAAACTTATTGTGCAAAATGCCTTAGGCAGCGGAGGCCACTTAGTGTGAAAAAAAGTTTGATGATAAAATTCATGTGGAGAAGAGATCTTAGATAATCGAATAGAAGTAGCCTTAGGCAGTGGAGAAGAGATCTCCCAAACTTATTGTGGAAAATGCCTTGGGCAGTGGAGGCCACTTGGTTGTCAGCTCGAAAGAAATTTTTTCCATTGTAGGCCGAGATTGGGGATTGGGTTGCAAGCATGCAAGTGCAATTTTCATCATGTGGACAACGCCCTCTGCTGCTTCTTTTTTAGGAAGCGAGATGCGGTGGTCTAACACATCCTTCAATAGAGTATGCTGAGCAATCGGTGGCATCGACGATGATGACGAAGATCCTGGTGATAGGAGTGCTGAAATGAGATCGCCTGGGTGCCTTCCTGTCATCACCTCCATTGTTACCACTCCGAAGCTGTAGACATCGCATTTTTCAGTCACCTTCATTGTGTAAGCTAGCTCTGCCAAATAAACATGATTATGCATGGTTTTTTATCAAATAGATGAAAGAAAAGACTCTATAAGAAAAGCTAAAAAAACACTATATTCTTCACTATTACACATTATATAGTAACTTAATGTTGAAATAAAGCTACGCACCTGGAGCAGTATATCCAAAAGTACCTGCAAATGAGGTCCAGTTGGATGAGTCAGGCATCAACAATCTAGCTGTGCCAAAGTCGGAGATGTGTGCTTCATATTCCAAGTCCAGAAGGATATTATTGCTGGTAATGTCTCGATGAATGATCGGAGGAGAGCAAGAATGGTGTAGATAGGATAAAGCTCCACCCGCCCCTTTCACAACGTTTAGCCTTTTCATCCAGTCGAACTCAATTGCTTGTTCCTCACTGCTTATAATCTTTCTCAAGCTTCCTCTTTCAATGAACTCGTAAACCAAAAAAGAATGCTTTGCATGTGAGCAAAATCCATACATTTTCACAATATTTCGATGTCGAATATTTGCCAACACGCAAACTTCCTTTTCAAAAGCTTTAAAATCGGACAACTTTTCTGTTTGTGACCGGTGAAGTTTCTTCACAGCAACCACCTGTTCTGCTGGCATCACTGCTTTATAAACAGTCTTTAAAATCGGACAACTTTTCTGTTTGTGACCGGTGAAGTTTCTTCACAGCAACCACCTGTTCTGTTGGCATCACTGCTTTATAAACAGTTCCATATCCTCCTTCGCCAATGCAGTAGTTGGAGTTGAATTCCTCTGTAGCTTCAACGATATTCTCATACATCTTCTTCCCATCATGGCCCAATATCGTGAACATGTTTCGATCTTCTTCATTTTCTGGCTCAGCGTTTCTCTTCCTAGCTCTTTTGCAGAGAATGAATAAAGCTCCAAACTCTAAAAGCAAGCTTCCTAAAAGAGGGAATACAATCAAAATCACAAGCTTGTTGCTCTTTCTCTTAACAGTTTTGCTGCTTCTTGGAAGAATGCACGGCTTTAGACCACTGGCGTTGCCACAGATACCCATATTATCCCTTAATGCCTCAAATGAAGCGTTGTGGAAGGCTTTGATATCGGGGATCGGGCCTTGTAGCTTATTGGATGATATATCCACAGTTGTTAAGCTTAGCATGTCGTTGAAAGTGCTCGGAATCCGTCCAGAAAGCATGTTGTGAGAGACATTCAGAGTTTCCAACCTTTGCAGCTGCCCAAGTTGCCTCGGTATCTCTCGGGTCAGGAAATTGCAGCTAAGATCAAGACCTTGAAGATAAAGTAGAAAGCCTATCTCACCTGGAATGCTTTCTCTAAATTTATTACCGCTGAGGTTCAGCATCAATAAATTTGAGCATTCCCCAAGTTGTTTTGGAATCAATCCACTCAGATTATTAGATGCTAAATTAAGGATTTGAAGATCGGAAAGCATCTTAATATCTAAGGGAATGGCACCTGAAAGATGGTTGTTGTTAAGAAGAAGCTCGTACAACAACTTCAAACCCCCTAAATCTTTGGGGATGGCTCCTTTTAACTGATTTGATGACAAATCTATCAAGTGTAATTGAGCAGCCTTCCCAAGCTCTGGTGGTATCTTACCAGAAACATTATTGTTTGAGATTTTAAGGCTTGTCATGTTACGACAATCTCCCCATTTTGAAGAGAGCTCACCATAAAAATTATTGTAACTCAAATCAATATAATGCAGACGTGGATAGACACCAAAAACCTCAGAAATATTTCCTGTTAACTGATTCCAGTCAAGTCTTAGTCGGTGTAAACCAGTGCAGTTTTTCAAGCTTTCCGGGATTGAACCTGAGAAGTAGTTGTGGGAAGCACTAAAGGTTTTCAATACTCCTCCATGGCATACATCTGCCAGCAAATGACCCGTGAATTCGTTGTTCACCAAATCCAAAAGCAGCAAATGGGTGAGATTGTTCATCTCTGAGGGCAATGGGCCGTGAAATTTGTTACGTGACAAGGTAAGTTGATAGAGAGACTCTAGCAACCCAATTTCTTGAGGAATGGGACTAGAGAGATTGTTTTCCGCAAGATAGAGCTCATATACGCTTGTCAAGTTTCTAATAGAAGAAGGGATGAGACCAGAGAGTTGGTTATTAGAAAGACCAAGTAAAGATAAATTTCTTAATTTTCCAATGGAATAAGGGATTCTACCGGTTAAAATATTACTTGACAAGTCAAGGTGATTGAGAGACTCTAACAACATAATTTCCTGAGGAATGGAACCAGAAAGTTTGTTACCCCAAAGATTGAGTACGAATAAGCTTGTCAAGTTTCCAATAGAAGAAGGGATAGGACCAGAGAGTTTGTTATCCCAAAGATAAAGCTCAGATAGGTTTGTCAAGTTTCCAATAGAAGAAGGGAT